ATCCAAATAATGGATTTTAAGCGAGTTCATTGTTTCCATACAGGTGAAAATCTCTGCGTCAATTGTTGATTTAACTGTTGTGAACTTTCCACTTGCATATGCGCAGACTTTTTAAGAGTTCCTTGGGTCGGTCTTAGTCTTCTTCCATTTGCAAACGCCACCCCATCCCTCCATACATCCATCGGTCTCTAAAATGATGTATGCCTTTTCTGGTGGAATCTCTAGATCAGGCAAATTCTTTACCAGCTCCTTGATTTTTCGAACAGTTTCCCAATCGTGAGGCTTCATCATTTTATCTCCGTGGGGAGATGTTTTCTGGTAAAGTGGACATAATAAAAGTCCAAGGTTAGGTATATAAGATCTTGCATAGTTTAATATACCTAGCCAAGAACGAAGCCCTTGCTTTTCCTTCAGCTTTTCCTCCGGGAAGTCTGCAATTTTCTTAATAATATGGGGTTGTAATTTTATTTTTGAATTCCCGATTACAGCTCCAAGGAATTCAATTTAGGGGACCGCAATTTTCATTTTTATTGCGGAAAGCACCAGTCCTTCCTTCTCCACAATGTTCAAAAATTGTTCCAAATGCTCCTTGTGTTTGTATTCGTCTTTGCTGAAAATAAGCACGTCATCAATATACACAGCCATAAATTTAGAATACCTTTCGAAACAATTGTCCATCTTTCGTTGAAATATTGCTGGCTCATTCTTCAGATCGAATGGCATTACAAGCAATTCGTATAGGCCAGTTGATACCACGAACGTTGTCCACTCGATCGAGTCTGGGTGCATAGCTACCTGATGAAATTCACTCTTAAGATCAATTTTTTAGTAGATTTTGCTATTCCCAATTTTCTTCAGTAACGTGTTTATGTCTGGTAGCGTATATTGGTCTTTATAAGTGTTGTCATTAAGTGATCTGTAATTAAAGACCATGCGTTCTTTTCCCTTGATCTCCTTCCCTGTCATTGGATCAATTAAAGTATCAGAATATATGATCATCGTCATTGTTCTGTGGCGACTCTTACTAGGCCTTATAACCTTTAGGGCTAAAAGGCTTTCCACATGTCTCTTAAATTGTTCATGCATCATGGGCGTGACATGTTTGAGAGGTTTATCCTGTATTGTAAGGTCAGGATTAATGATTTCAATTTTACATAGTACATGATTCTTATTCCAGTGTTTCATAGGATCATCGCCTATGAATCCTTGTTCTTGCAACCTTTGAAATAATATTTTGAACTTTTTCAAGAAGGGACTTTCCTGAATTCTGTTAGAATAAGCGTACTCAGGTTGTAGCTCTAAATAGAAATCATAATTCATTTCTAACTCGGATATTTGTTTAGCTGCAATCTCAACATCTGTTGTTGTGTTGATCTGAGTTATTTCTTTATAGAAGGTAACTACATTACCTTCTATCCTCATTCCCCCATTCATGCTTCAGATGAAGTTACACCCGAGAAGCATTTCAATTCCATCTTTCTTTTGCATATGAAGGCAATAAACTAATGGAATTTTGAAGCTATGTTCATTAATAATCATTGAACCTGCTTTGAGCTTCTTGTTGACACTAGTTGTCAAGTTAACTCCGCTGAATGAGACTTGGTAGCTCAATTCTTCAATGGCTTGAGCTGGGATTTCACTAATGCAAGTGCAACACGATGTAGCCCCTATGTCTACAATGGCCTTTAAAGAAAATATATCAAATCCTGGAATTTTAAATTCTATTACCAGGTTAAAGAGCCGGTTTAGCATTCTTTTTGGGGCAGCATGAGATTGTTCTTTAGCGTATTCATTGAAGAACTTCACGCCTGAGCATTCTCTTTGCTGGTTTAGTGTGGGTTCTTCATCTTCTTCTTCCCATGCTTCATCTTCTTCGTTGATTCTGATTTGTCTTGCTTTATCTATCAGCATCAACTCTTTTCTTTCTGCTTCAAGTTTTTCTTCCATCATCTCTTGCAATTTTTGTTGAAGCTTTTTTTTCTCCTCTGTCAGATGAGTAGAATAATTTAACAGTTCTTGAATGAGAGCATCCTTTGATTGATCGGGATTTAGAATCAACTCCTTCTGTATTAGCATTGCTAAATAAAATTTAGCACATAATGGACAGGCAGTTATCCTGCAAGATATACAATGGATTCTCTTCTGAGCGTTAGTAGTAATGTGGCAATATGTACATCGTATGTAAGGCCCCTGAATTGACCTGTTATGTTCCCAAGTATGAGCACATTTCTCCTGCTCCTCGGTTAGACGAACGGTGCATCTCCATCCAAGTGTCGATGTTATATCTGCGGAGATGAAGGCCACTTCGCAAGAGAATGTAAAAATAAGAAAGGTAATATGGCACGAGCTGCCATACTAAGCAATCTCGATCACCCTGATGATTATGATATACTCTCAGTAGATCTTGATGAGGATGCTTCAGACGCCATTTGTAGCATCTCTGAAGGGGAGGGTGTAAATACCCTCATGCATGTCAAACATGCTTTGGATAATCTTCCTCCAAAAGATTATATCTTCATGATAAAAGAGGGTACAATACAAAAGCTTTACACGAGAGTCTTCAGCGGAGTTAACTTAACAACTAGTGCCAACAAGAAGCTCAAAGCAGGTTCGATGATTATTAATGAACATAGCTTCAGAATTTCATTAGTTTATTGTCTTGATATGCAAAAGAAAGATGGAATTGAAATGTTTCTCGGGTGTAACTTCATCTGAAGCATGCATGGGGGAATGCAGATAGAAGAGAATGTAGTTATCTTCTATAAAGAAATAACTCAGATCAACACAACAACAGATGTTGAGATTGCAGCTAAACAAATATCCGAGTTAGAAATGAATTATGATTTCTATTTAGAGCTACAACCTGAGTACGCTTATTCTAACAGAATTCAGTAAAGTCCCTTCCTGAAAAAGTTCAAAACATTATTTCAAAGGTTGCAGGAACAAGGATTCATAGGCGATGATCCTATGAAACACTGGAGTAAGAATCAGGTATTATGTAAAATTGAAATCATTAACTCTGACCTTACAATACAGGATAAACCTCTCAAATATGTCACGCTCATGATGCATGAACAATTTAAGAGACATGTGGAAAGCCTCTTAGCCCTAAAGGTTATAAGGCCCAGTAAGAGTCGTCACAGAACAATGGCGATGATCGTAAATTCCGGTACCTCGATTAATCCAATGACAGGGAAGGAGATCAAGGAAAAAGAACGCATGGTCTATAATTATAGATCACTTAATGACAACACTTATAAAGACAAATATACGCTACCAGGCATAAACACGTTACTGAAGAAAATTGGGAATAGCAAAATCTACTCGAAATTTGATCTTAAGAGTGGATTTCATCAGGTAGCTATGCACCCAGACTCGATCGAGTGGACAACGTTCGAGCGTTCGTGGTACCAACTGGCCTATATGAATAGCTTGTAATGTCATTCGGTCTGAAGAATGCGCCAGCAATATTTCAACGGAAAATAGACAATTGTTTCGAAAGGTACTCTAAATTTATGGCAGTGTATATTGATGACGTGCTTATTTTCAGCAAAGACGAATACGAACACAAGGAGCATTTAGAACAATTTTTGAACATTATGAAGAAGGAAGGACTGGTGCTCTCTGCAACAAAAATGAAAATTGCGGTCCCCCAAATTGAATTCCTTGGAGCTGTAATTGAGAATTCAAAAATAAAATTATAGCCCCATATTATTAAGAAAATTGCAGACTTCCCGGAGGAAAAGCTGAAGGAAAAGCAAGGGTTTCGTCCTTGACTAGGTATTAGAGCTATGTCGGGCTAAGATCTTGAAGGTATTGAAAGTGGCAAAAAATAGTTTCAGCTTCAGAGTGGATCTATTGAAGGTGACAAAAATATTGGAGTGGCCATTATCTAAGATCTTGAAGGCATTGAAAGGATTTCTGGAACTTGCAAAATACTACCGGAAGTTTGTGATGTGTTGTAATTTGATTGTGTGGCCATTGATTGAGAAATTGAAGAAGGATAATTTTCAGGGGACGAAGGTGGCATCCCAAACTTTTGAGAAATTAAAGGTTGTGACGAGTATGTCAGTGCGGGCGTTATTTGATTTCATCCAACTTTTGATTGTAGAGTCAGATGCTTCAAGCTATGGATTAAGCTCGGTCCTCTTGTAGTATCAACAACCCATCTCCTATTTAAATCAAGTGCTAATGATGAGAGCTAGAATCATTTAATGAGTGGAAGCCATACAACTTGATCCGGCAACAATTTCATTTTTTCCCACCTTGATGATAATGTGTTTTTTTGGGTGAGGAGTAATGTTACATCGATCCCTATGGGCAATTTATTCTTTTGTTATTTATTGTTATTTGATATAAATAGAGCTAATATGTTTAGGGATAGGGTTATGCATGATAAGATTGTTGTCTTGAGTTTTAGGGTTAGGGTTTGAGAGAGATCGTCTTCCTATTGCATTTTAGGTGCTTATCGTTTATGTATCCAAACCGTGTTGTTTGGGTTCTTAAAATAAAATATTTTGTTTTGACCTAATTTATGTTAAAAATCGTCTCGGTTCGTATCACAATCTCTATTAAAAAAATCTGACTAATTTGACATTTTTATAGATTCTAAAACTAAAATGGCCCTCTGTAAATAGTCTGGGGACTGTTTTGGCACCTTCCTCCTAGATGTCTCAAGTAGTTATAGATTTGTCTATGTCTAAAGTTTGTCAGAAACTTAATCAAACCAGCTTTGGATATTGCCTATAAACTTTTTTGCAGGTTTTTTTCTGTGGGGAATTATATTGTGGAAGTGTCTCTTTAAACAATATACGACCATGATATTTGCATTATGTCTTCAAACTATAACAACATGTGACGGCCTTTATTTATTTAAAAGTAGAGGAACAAACCACTATCCCTGAGGAACATTATCAGTTTAACCTTTTTAATGGGAATTCCTACTTTTCTATGTAGGCGTGATATTTATAAATTTCTTATAATTTGTATTTTTTTTGTAGTGATTCTGCATTTAGGCATTTGACTTCCGAGTTTAAGAGAATGGGCCCGAGGATTTTTATTTTCATGATTGGTGGTGCTACTAGATCAGAGGTAAATAAGTGCTTGCTTAAAACTTTATCTTGCTTGTTATGATCTTAATCATGTTCTTCAATCTTCTTTTATTTTTATTTTCTTGCAGTTACGAATGGCTCACAAGCTCACGGGGAAAGTAAGGAGAGAAGTTATCCTTGGATCTTCTAGTTTAGATGATCCTCCGCAGTTTATCACGGTGAGCAAAATTACCTAATCCTTTTGTTAAAAAATATTTATTTGACCTGTGCTTTATCCTTAAAACGCTTTAATATAGAAGGTTCTAATGGAAGAAATGCTGTCTCAGGTGTTTAAAGTTCCAACGCTTCTTTAAATTGACATAAAGCAACATAAAAGAGTGAAGTATTAAAATAGTTCCTTGATTATCTACATGTCCCAAAATTTATAAAATTATTGAATTCATCCTTAGACTCCTTTAATCGGGAATAAAATAGTCCTCATTGGGAATTATTTTAACCCATACTAAAAGACCCTGAGGACTACGGGTGTGTCTGTTTTGGTTGTGGCTATAGAAAAGTTGGTTTCAGAAGCTGTTGTTGAAAATCTGTTGGTTAGAAGCTGGTGTTTCAAAAGCAGTTAGTTTCTTTGAAAAGCACAGTTCTGAAAGTGTTGCATGGTGAATAATGATTGTAATACCTTAAGTATATAAACACAGTTCAGTTTAAACTATTTGGAAAATACTTTTCTGAAAGTGTTTCCTGCAAAATAAATCTACTAACAATTTATCAAATTATTTTCACTCACAACAACATAATAGAGCAAATAAAGATGTACATTAATTGAATCATAAGAAATCATCAAATTATGTCTTCTAACAGCATAATCACAAGAAATTATGATATATCAAATGGTTGAAAAAAACTAGTTTGCTTATAAAATAAAAATCTAATGCAGTCTAGTTTGTTCTCTAGAATACATGTACATAATTAAAACATATACAGCGCTAACAACAATAAAAGCAATGCTACAATCACAAAATTGAAGAGAAGTAAAATCTTCACAAGAAACTTCAAGTCTCCAACATCATTTTTCACGCTATTATCAACAACATATATCTTTTTCGTCAGCTCGCTTCTATAGTGCATCTCTCAGTTCATCAACCCACTGGAAAAATTTGCAATCTCTATTTGTTAAATTCTTTGAAAATCTGTAAAATTTTTGTATTGCATTGTCTTCTTCTTGAGCGGTGAAAATAACACATAATAGATTGCAATCACAAAAAACCGATCGATATTTGGTCTCATTAGCGCTTGTTGAATTGTTTGAGCTCATTTTAGATAGTACAATCCTATACGATAATGATTAGCCAAAAAATAATGAATTTTATTGCATATACAAAAAAACGGTAGACCCTTAATGCAGGGGATCTTGGTTGCCAAAAACCTTTAACACCAAATTTGTGTATGCATAAATGCATATAAAGACGACCATCCAGAAGATCCTTTCTTGGGTCAAATGACTCATTATATCCGAAGAAACTCAAAAAAGAAACCAACAAACAAATATAATAAAAAAATCCAAGATAACCACCAAAAAATCAAAAAACAAGACAACCGAAAACATGGCAACAATAATAAAGAAGCACAAGAAGAAACTCAAAAATAAAAATAAATTGAGCTCAGTACTTGATGAAAAAACATTAATATAACTTCCAAATACTATAAATGTTTTGGCACAAAAAACATTTACAAGTATGGTTGGATTTTAATGCAATGAATAGTGAAAATCATAGCTCAACCGACAACTCGACCGAAAGGGAAAAATCAATAAAAATCTGAACAAATCAGCAAATCCAAAATAACCTGAAAAGCAATTTATATAAAGCATCCAAAAAGTTCATACGGCCTTAGAAAACAATGCATCAAAAAACTTTAATTTTATCCATCACTATTATGGGTTGAATGCCCACACAAAAAAATTCAAATAGCAAGTAAATAGTTGAGATGAATTGAATGCCCATCTCTTTTGAAATGAATGCATCAGAATACATACAGGATCCCAAGAAGTTTGTTGACCCATTTGTCTCTGATAAATGTTGACGTCATACATGACATGCGAGAGATGGATGATTCATAGTACACAGTGAGTACCCATACAACTGTTGTAATAATTTTCCTACAACGCTCCCTATATAATATCTCAGTGGGATTCATAGCCGGAAAAATAATAGACAGTAAAATATTACAACTACTTAAATCAGATTAGATCACCTATCCATTTGCTAGCGTCAATAATAATAGTTCTCTTAAAAATAGATCATAATATGAAAATAGAATATGAGCAATTGTTTAGCAGCAAAAAAAAAGCAAAATATCCTAAGCAGTTATTACATAGAAATGCTAGGTGCACTTCACACAGAACACAAATAGACAATAGTAATCAAACGTTGTGATTTTTATAGAAGAAGCGTAAATAATAAACCCTTCTTTCAGGTGCCATAGACGTTAAAACATTATTCTTCACCGGATCTTCAATTAGCTTCAATGAGTACAGATATAAGAGCATATCTTCAAAACTTTGGGTATATGTTCAAATATTTTTGTTACATCAAAAATAAATGAAGATTGTTGTGCATTGGTGGCGTCAGAAGAAGGTGAGATGACCCGCAGGATAATCTGCTAGCGCATAAGAGCAGGAGAAGGCGAGATGACCTGTTGGAATGCCTAGGGCACGCAAGAGAAATGAAGCTCAGGGCGAGACAGAACGGCGTAACGAAACTCGGGTTGCATTGGTTTTTTATTCGCGAACACGGAACACAGGTTTGAATCCGCATTCGTAATTCTACAGTACTTTGAACCCCATTTCAGACCGAATTGATGAAATGTGCGAACCAAACGAAATGGAAACACAGTTTGGAGGAAAAGCTAGTTTTAAAAGCCGAAACAAACGCACACTAAATCGACACTTATATAAATTTTGTAATAAAATGCCCTTGCAGAGAATTAGGAGACCATTTTGATACTTTTCTCCTACATAAATTAATAGAAGATCCCCGTGAAAAAAAAAAGTTTGGCCACTTGAATTATTAGGATTTTTTTCTTTTATTTTTGGTTTTCTTGTCCGCTTTCCCTCTAATTTCTACACGCTAGGACAGTTTTTTTTTAATTTTAATAAAAAAGCCTTTGTTTTATTAAGGAGCATTTACATAAATATCACTCAATTCTTATGTATTTACATATCTAACACCTATGCTTTCATTTTTACATTTCCGCCACCCGAATCTCTCGTATCATATCAATATACCATTATTTTAACTTTTTTTTATGCATAGATAAGGCGGTGTGTATGTGAAAATTGAAATTTAGGCATTAGATATGTAAATAAATAGAAATTAAGTGATGTTTATTCATCGCAAAGGTAACCAGTGTATTAAGTGGACTGCGAAAAGAGGTTTGGATTCTCAAGAGTTTAATTTTTTTTTTATTATTGTTCCTTTGAAGCTTTCTCAGTTGATTAAAGGGGATTGTTTATATAGTCTTTATATTCGTACTTATAATTTTTTCTAATATGTTTTCTTGCGTGAGTTGTATTCGTGGCTAACGGTTCTTAAGTTTTTATTTGTTTTTGAGTAAATTGTTTGTGTGGGGGATTTTAGTAGAACTATTGGCCACACATTTGTATATATTTTATTTTTATGAAATAAAATTTCCTCTGGGATTCTTTTAAAAAAAATAGGAATTAAGTATTGTTTATGTAAATCTTCCTTTTTTAATCATTTTCTAAACATAACATGAACTCTCCATGTGAGCCGAGTTTTTAAGTGAATTATAATCTCATCTTAGATCTTCATGTTAAATAACTATTGTGAGCCCTTAATTAACCTAAATTCAAATTTAACATAAATTGAATACAACTTTTTTGTTTAGAAATGGAAAATTTAAGCTAACTTGTGATATTGTGAGCATGCATATGATATAATACTTAACAGCCTCAATCTGCCGCCATTTTCTATGCTTTGCAGAAATTGAAGCTACTCAGTTCCAAAGAAGTTTCAGAAAGTCTTAGACAAATGCCGATGAACATCTATTTTTAGGCGTCAAAAAAGGTTAATTGCAAGAACTAGAGCTTTCCTCTTTCTCATTAACTGCAGCTCAAATTTTCTGGACGCTGCTTGGCTAGAAATGATAGTAAACAAGAATTTTATTATTTTTATTGCGCGTTTCATAAATTTTTTTTTTTTAAAAAAAAGCTTACTTTTACAGCAGGTTATACAAGAAATAATTTCATTAATTCGATGATAATTTACATTGCATATAGCTGCAGTTGCTAATGCAAACTGCAATGAATGGGGAGAAATGCATAGCTCTGAGCTTTCATGATTTGCTTAATTTTGTAATTTGTGTGTTTTTTTTTTCTTATTTACACTTTTGAAATGTAGAATTTTCATCAACATCATGCTAAGTTTGTGGAGGAGTGTAGGTTTATAAACTTCTTTGCTGTTGAAGTTTTTTAAATGATTATTTCAAAGAAAAATCAGATCAAAAATCAAAAAAATTGAAATGTGTGGCACTTCTGATCTGACACAAGTTTCTGACTTTATATTGCAAACCTAAACGATCTCTCCAAAGATGGATAAACTATGGTCTACTCCTGCTATGTTGCATAATTCATATTGTAAATTATAATGTATGTATATATTCTATGGAAATGTCCAACACGTGGACCTTCAGCTATAGGTTTAAATTTGAATGATTTTGTTTCAATTATGGTTGAAATTAGTCTAAACGAAACAATTATATATTAGATTTCAGCCATGTTTTAGAAGTTTGTTTGAAGATAAATTGAGCTCTTGTAGTTATCTGTCTAGTGCAAAGTAAAACAACTTTGTTTGATAATTGATATGCCATCAACATATTTTCATCATCTGATATAACTCTCGAGGCATGATATGAATTTTATTTTATTTTTTTTTTTTTTTTTCAGCAAGAGATGTTTAAATTTTGATTAAAACTTATCTAGAATTTTAATTCAACAAACTTACAATCAAATTGATCGACTTGATAAAGCTGGCCCAACGATGCTAAAATTTGTTCAATTCGTCAAATTAAGCCTAGATCAAGGCGAAAAACCACTTTTAGAAATTTTTAGTGCATAATTGGAATGTCAAATAGATTTATAATTTGATATATTTACAGTCAATTTGAATGTTTCAACGATATGAATTAAATAAAATTTCAAATAGATTTATAATTTGATATATTTACGGTCAATTTGAATGTTTCAACGATATGAATTAAATAAGCATAATATTAAGGCACTTAAAGGTTTATCGGATGTCATTCGATTGAGAGAATCTCTTCAAGTTGTTCGATGGAGTGATTTAGATTTCTTATTTATTTGAATTTTATAAGTAGTCATACCTCCATCCTCAAAGGGGACCTAGATCTAAAGATAGAAAAAAATGAAAGCTTGAAGGAGGGGTTGAAATCTAATATTGCTTATCACTGGAGATCCAACAAATACTTCCCAATTCGGCTGCCATCGTCGTAAACTCAAGCTAACTTTGGTCGATGCCTCCTCCTCTGGCAGCCACTGTCGCCGCCTCCACCGGTTGTTGCCACCTTCTCTAACAATTTTTGTCACCCCCTTTGATAGCTATCGTCGTTGTTGCCTCTAACAGTTGATGCTACCTCTGGCTTGCTTCGGTCACCAACTTCGGCCAACTTCAACTTTTGTCTATTGGCCACCGCTTGCTCCTCGCAGTGAAGTCCATTGTAGAGTCACAACATGCTTTGCAGAATCTCAGCGTACGTTATGGACTAGTGAAGCACCCGGTGGAGCAATACATCATCAAGTATATTATGTAGCAACACACCTCGAATACGGTGCAATGATACACCCCGATTATGATGCAATAACACACCCCACATATAGTGCGATGACGTCTCCTAAAGACGACACAATGACACACTCAATTAAGGTGTAACAAAGCGCCCCACATATGGTTTATTGATGCCTCAAGAAGATGGTGTAACAAAACATCACAAGTACGGTGTAATGATGCCTACTGAAGGCGGAACAACAACGCACCTCACATAAGGTGTAATGACACCTCCTGAAGTCGGTATGCAACGATGTCTCCCAAATATGATGTAATAATGCACCTGAAGTCTTACTTTCTCTTGACTCTTAAAGCTCTTTCCTTGTAGCTTACCATTGTGGTCTATGTAACGAACTACAACCTATGCGGTTCGCAGCTTGCGACTCAGGCTCTTGTGACCTACGAACGTCATCACAACTCATTATTAAAACCTACGTGACTAACTATGACTACTTGGTCCACAACTCGTGCAGAACCCAACCTCAGCCTCTGCGACCTACGGATGTCATCACAGCTCACAATTACGGCATAAGTGACCAACTATGACTTATCTAATTTTTTAAATAAATATAACTCTCTTTTTAATAAGATTAAAGAGAAAAAATATTTCCTATTCTATATATATTTCAAAGGAATGGTCCGAGTCTATGATACGAGCCCCGACCACCCCTCATGCTTCAAATAATAACGCGGCGCTCCGGAAGAAGAATGATAGACAGGGCACTGACTCATCTAATCAAAAAATAGTATTTGACATCTGACCAGGCACAGCAAGATGTTTATAAAAGATCCATTTTGAATCTACGGTTGTACAAAAGTAGAATATGACTGGACACGAATAGATAATCGAATAGAAAGAAAACAAGGTGATAAAAATCTCCATAAATTGTCGCCACTCGATCATCTGAAGGCCGCCAAGAACAAGAATAGATGCATTCAACCAATCAGCCATAACAAAATTCTCTAAACAAAATCGAGTTTAACGTTCAAACGAAAACACTGAAAAGCTATGCTTGGGAAACTCAGATTTCATCTACTTGAAAAGACAACAAGACGAATCTATAACTCGCTAATTAAAAAGGTCAACTGAGACATCACAATTATAAATCAAAATTTTATTGCATGCTCTTGCACAATTACCATGCATAAACCAAAAGTCCTTAATAAAGGATTAATTAGAGATATATGACTCTTCGATGCATTTTTTATATTGCAACCGGTTTTTCAATCTGAGCTCCGTTGGTGCACGTATTTCCACACGTTAGCATTAAAACCCTCTCTTGCTTTCATAACAAAAGAACATAACGAGTGAACCGATTCACCCTCCAACCCAAAAGTGTGGAGAAAAATAAGCACCCATGGTGAGCTATTCAAGTATAACTCTGGGTTGAAGCCCTCCTCATCTTCCTTCATTCCTTCTTTGTTATTTGAGGGATTGAATGAGAGAAAAAGGGAGAGAGTTGATCATGTTGGAAGCCAAGTAGATGAGCGGTTTATAGTCATTTACTTGAATTACACCCAGCAGGACTAAGGCATTGAAAGAATTTATTTCAAGAAATAAGAATGTTTAAATATTCTTCTCAGAGTAAGTAAGTTCTCTCGACATTTAAGAGAAGGCTCTTACTATAGTCATTTACTTGAATTACACCCAACAGGACTAAGGCATTGAAAGAATTTATTTCAATAAATAAGAATGTTTAAATATTCTTCTCAGAGGAAGTAAGTTCTCTCGACATTTAAGAGAAGGCTCTTATCCAGATAGGGTCTGAACGGATTGGTGTTCGGGTTCAACGAACTAGAAACCCTCTCTTTCGGATATGAAAGAGAGAGAGCATAAAGCCACTGCATAAAATGATTATTCTGCTCCGCGACACTGTTTGTAAGTGTCCCTTCTAAAACCACACTGGTGGCTCTCTCCACTTTGAGAGACATTGATAACCTATTGTTGAGAATGCGTTGCAGAAAACAATGGTAGTCAAGTTCTTCTTGTAGCCTCTAAATAATGGGATTCATGGAAAAAATTTGGATCACTCCATCAGTTGGCTTAGAAAGATTCTCTTTATCAGACAACATTTTGTAAATATTTGAGTGTCGTAACAATATCAAAATTGAGTAATTTTAAGCTCGCTGGATTCATCTTGCAAGACACTCGATTTAAACCATAAACTCGCCTGATTTTGAATCCATTTTATCTTCCAAGTGGCCACTAGAAACTTTTGCAAAATGACTTAATGAGTTAATATGCGCTTAATTAAATATGAATTGTACCGACTTTGGTGTCATCGTGTTCGTCTAATCAATCAAATCAATTCAATTGTACGTTTACTAAAATCAATGTTTAGGATGATTTTGTAATTGGAATTTAGATGTTTCTTATTCAAAAAATATTTCGAGATCCATGATCGCCTCAAAATTCACATCAAATTACAAATTTGTTAATGATGTATATATCAAATATAAATAAACTTTTTTATACCGCAACGCATTTTATTAAAAAAAAATATACTTATTTTCGTTAAAACCTCATTGTCAGAACTTAATATATATTTAATATACCTCTCATACTCATGTATCATTTAGCACATTTAAAAAATGCAACTCAAATTAAAAACCGGCCGAAAAGGCTCATCAGTCAACCTTTGCGTCGGTTTTAAAATGATAATCTGAACAACATGCTTACACATGTCACTGAAATCCAATGGTGACATTTATGCAAGGCAGAAAAGCTTAAGCTTTACGTAGAATGTCGTCAGCCGAAGTAAGGCAGAACAGTGGCGTCTGTTGTCTTTGCTTTTGTCCGCTAAATAGAAAATTAAGTTTGATTTTTTAATTAAAACAATTCAAAAATAATTTTTTTTAGAAAATTACTGTAAATAATATATATATATATATATATATGTATAAAAGATAAAAGAAAAATAGGAAGTACCTTTGCATTTGCCGGGCAGTCGAGAATTACACGTGATTTATTATTTAAATGGCTTTTTTTTTTAAAAAAAAAGCAAGTATTATAATTAATATAATTTTTTATTTTAATATATTTTTAATTTATATCTATCACATTTAGATAGATTCACTTGACATAGACTTTTTCACTTACAGTTAATAAAAAAACATGAAGTGTGATAAAATCCAAAAAAATAATTTAAGATTATACAAAGTTAACATCTATGAATTAACAAAATAACAATCTATATTATTTTATAAGTATTAGCAAGTAGTAAATACATCTATATAATTTATGTGCTATACCATTCTCAATAACATAGAAATAATTGGTCATAACTTAGTAGAAATATCTAACACACGCACAGAGATGTAAATGATAGAAGATAAGAATACTTTTACGAAGAAAACCAAAAAAGAATAAGGAATCATAAAACTTCAACCAATTTAAATAAGACATTGTATGACGAAAACTAAAGAGTTTCATTCTTATATTCAATTAGAGAAGATTATATCATGATACTTGTTTGTCCCTCTGTTGTTGCAATAAATAGTATAGAATGACTACAATAATTAGGGGATGTTGGTTAGAAAATTATGGATTGTGGATAATAACTAGGAAATAACAACCGTTGTTGGGTTGCAATAGGTGTATTTGGGGTACAATAATTGGTGTTGGGCTACAAGAGTCGTAGTTAGGCTACGACACTTGTAGTTGAGCTGCAACAATCCAAGCTAGGCTACAACAACTATAGTTTGGCTACAACAGTCATAGCTAGGTTATAATAGTCGCTGCTAGTTATTGATGATTATTGATGGTCGTTGTCTTCTAGCTCTCTTGTAGGGTGCTGATTTAGTTCTCAGCTCTCTCCTCTCTTATATTTGAAAAATGAGGATCTATTTATAAATTTTTAGAATGATATTTTGATAAATTTAGCATAATTCCCAAAACACTTTCTTAGATAAATTTAGATAATTCCCAAAACACTTTCTTAGTTCCCAAAACACTTTCTTAGATACATTATTATTTAAGCATTTATGTGTCTTAAAGATATCAGAATCAAATAACATTTAACACATTAAATTGCTCTCATCTAAACACTTGATTTGAATATAAGTATGCAAATTCAGAGATAATTTGATCTTTTAATTAATGCTAAAAAACTTTTAATTATGCTTCATGTTCTTAATCATGACTTATTTGAACTCGAATAGAATTTTTGTATATGTTGTTGGATTTGTATTATCAAAATGTTAAGTTTGACTTTAAATATGTTAAAATTTGATCTCAAATGATCTTTAATTTGATCTTTAAAGTGACCATTCAAAATGCATCGAGATTCATGTTGAATTTATTTTCTTGAATTTTGTTTAAAGCTATAGGTTTAATCAAGTTAATTAGTTTGATAGCATTGGTTCTATATGTTCAAATAGCTTTATTTGAGCTAAATTTGGTCATAGAGTCTTATATAGCTACACTAATGTTTTATTTAACTATATTCAGTTCTGCATAATCTTTATGAGCTATTAAAAGGTTGGTTGAGATAAAAAAAAGTTATATTGTCTAGTTTTTATTGACCAATAAGGTTTAATTGGGTCATTACATCATTTAGATGGGGAGCCTAGTATAATGGTCAATTATGATCAACTCATATATGATTTGATGATTAAAATTATGTGGAAGAAGTTTGAACAAATTATTGAATTATTTCATTTTTAATTTTAGAATGAATTAAAGTTCAAGGGGTATTGGAGTTGTGTTGACCACATATCAAATTTAGGTCTACATGTCAAGCTGAAGTTACCCATGGTCACTCTTAATGCAAAAGGAACTAAGTACCTATAAATCTAATTTAAGCCCATCAGGACCAATTAAGTTTAAGGTAAGATAAGATCTGTCGTAAGACCAATAGAGGCTAAAGAATTGAATGATCAATGGTTTTCTATCACATTCTTTTCTAAGTTCAGTAGAGTTTTATAACTTTCCTATAGTCATGCCTTAATAAACTCGAGCAAGGGGGCTAAAGTATGGTTTTCTGCTAAGTTAAACGTATGGGTGAGCAATAAATTAAATCAAAATTTAAAAGAGTGGAATGGGTTTATATCATTTTTAAGAGAAGTAGAAGACCAAGCGAAATGTATTGCCCTATTCAAGTTTAAATAACTCAAATTAGACATTACCAACTTAGCCTAGTATAAGACAACCACTTAATTAGTGAGACCTAAGCATTAATAAATTTGACTATTAATATTGTAGATACTAGCAGTAAATTAGACCATAATGTTGGTAAACAACTAAAATTGGGAGGTGACAAACAAAACTATGATAACTTTTAAGCTTGAGAATTTTCTATGCTAAAATTTCTTTTTAGAATATACAAAAAAATATGGTATATATTTATAATTTTGGAGAAAATAAAAAGATTATTTCTACCACAAATCCATAAGTTTAATTAGGTAAAATTAATTGATTTTATGTTATAATGAACTCAAAATTGGGTAATAGTGAACTCATTGAATTCGTTGAAGTGTTTGTTTTGATTATAGATGCAAATGTTAAAGAGCATTTGAATTATCAAATGATCTTTACAAAGTATCTATTGTGCTTATAGGCATTCAGGTTAAGTATTTTAGACTCAAATCAAGTTGTTATTGTTACCATTGAATCAATATTGTAAAATCATTATGTTTTAATTTGCCAAGAAAATGAAATTCAAATGAACTTGAAACTGATTTTTAAAATTTATGATCCAAAATGCTAGATTATTTTGGGATCTAAAATTTATATTAAACTAGTGATTGATCAAGAAAACATTTTTAAGACGTGTAATGACGCACTAATAAAAATGAATAAAGGTGGAACAATCGAAAGTCTAAGGGTCCGTTTGGGGCGGCTTATAAGTGCAGCAGCGTTTTTTAAAACACCGCTTAACCGTTTGGTTTGCGTGTTTTTGAAAACGCTTTATGCCGCGTTTGAGTTTTTTACACTAAACGCAGGGCGCGGGTTGACCCCCACGGTCGACATGCTGGCCGCATATCAGGATAAGCTGTTTATCTTGAAACACACAAGCTGCCCCAAACAGACCCTAAGAGAAAGGAGGGAGATGAAACGAGTGTGTCGTTTAGCCAATCTGGACCCTTGCTTGTGGAGGAAAATCTTGTAACCGCGTGTGAGATAAAAGCTGAGTTGAGTGTTTTGAGCGGCTTTGAACAAAAGAATAGAAAAGGGAGATCTTGTGGTTTGAATACGAAAGAAGAAGGAGACTGGTGTGCTGTTTAGCCAATCGGAGTCGAAGTAAGGAAGGTGAGGGAAGAAGTTTGGCATGCAGGAAATTAGTCTAAGAGGCTGACCAAACTCAACATCCGAACTTTAAGTTTTAGAAATTTTATTGTTGAGATGTTTGAGTACTTCAAATTAAAAATGTTATATTTATTAGGTAATTTAAATAAAAATAAATAATTATATTGCTAATTATGAATCAGGTTTAATATATCATAAAATGATTAAATAAAAATAATTAATTATATTGCTGATTATAAGAAAAATATATTAAATAAAGAGAATAGAATAAGTGTAGAGATTAAAAAGTTAATAAATCATTAATTAAACATAATAAAATTTAGATAAACTAACAAATGGTAATATAGACGTTAGGATTTGATTATTTAAATCAAAAAGTTGAATGATTAATTAATCATTGAATTATTCATCGTAAATATTTTTCTTTGGGTATAAAATTGAAGGAGGTGAAGTTAAAGTAACAGATTAGAAATTTAAGAATAAGTTATCAGAGGTCGTAGTGAGTGACCTTACTTTTAAATTATAATAAAATGTTTTATTTCATATAATCTTGTTATATGAATTATTATTGATGTTTGATAAATGCATTACAATTTCTCTATTCTTAAGGTTTATCCATCATTTTGATATGAATGCTAATAGTCTCTCATTATGAAAAGATTCATGCAATATATCATAAAATATTATATATTAATGATGTAAATAAATGTGAATATTATGGACTATATCAAGTGATTATTTGTGCATGTTTGACTATAATGGAATTCACCCAATTGTGGGATACTAAAGTAGTTGTGCATTTGATTATAAAGAGATATTGATATTGATGAGTATTTATTGATAGAATTTTAAATGATATTCAAGTGATATTTATATAGATATAAAATGATATATACATGCTATTGAAATAGTAAAATGCACTCTTTGTTATGAACCATCATATATTAAAAAGAAAATTTTTAATGCTTTTATATTGATTTATAACATATTTGCTAGCATACATATCATTCTCTTTCTGTTGCGTTAATATAACTTAGAAGTATGAGTATTCATTGACTTTTATAACTCACTGTCATATTAAACTAACATTTCGGATTCAATCATTTGATTAAAAGATGAATAATATACGAAAAAAATTTTATAAAAGACACAGATAAACAAAAATAAAAAATATTTTATTGTATTATTTTAATTTTTTTTTAAGTGACTCTTTCATTTCATTTGAATTATAAACTGTCAGTTATAGAAAATATAAATATAAAATTTAAATTTTCAACGTCATACCTTCTGTTACAGTCATGGTGAATTCCATGCCCCAGTCGGGTTGCAACAAATTTTTATTAAGAAAAGTATTTTCTAATTTGAGTTGAATTTCTGCTAAATATGGCTTGTTAGTCTGCTTATTTATATTGATTAGTCAAAAAATTTTCGTCCATATTTTGTATTAAAATCATATATATATATATATATATATATATAGACACACACATATATACATAAGGATTAGAATTATGTGGTGTTTATTTAAATCTTTCATAAATTCTTAATTTTATTTTGATAAAGAAGTATCTAAGTGGATGTTGGAAAGTCCGTACTTTCTTTTTCACGCATCCCTGGAATTCCAGCCTTAAAGCTATCACACCGCTGGCATATACCATGGGTCGGGCGGGTCACGGCCCGAATTCGGCGCCGGTTAACAACGAGCTCCCAATCACCCACATCTATCCGACGCTCCTCTTCTCCCAGCTCTCCGTCTACGCTCTTCACACTTCCTCAGCCAAGCCGGTACTGCACTCCCTTCCGTCTTTTGCCTTTCATCCGAGCTCCAGTGGTTCTCTCAACTTCTAGGAACCAGTACATCGACGTCGCCTCTGCTTTTTCATCCGTCCTCCCATTCTACGCTTTGGTTGGAAGTAAGAATAGGTTTCTTAATTGCTTCTCTTCTCTATTGATGATCCGCTGTGTTTGTTGGAGAATGAAAAGACTTTTCTCAATGCAGGCGAGTTCATCATAGGAATCTTTTGAATCTACCTGGGTTACGGTGCTGGTGGTGTTCTAGGGTTGGGGAGTAATTAATTTGAGGTTTTCTGGGGCGAATTATCAGTTTTGGAAATGTCTCGACACACTGCAGCTGCACATTTCCACAAATCTAAAACGCTCTATGACAAATATGTGAGCTAAATTTACTTTCTTTTTACTTTTTGTGCCCTTTAGTTGCGTTGAATTCTGTGATTTTTAAGAATTTATGGTTATTTCTTAGATGCTTGGAGATGAGATTGGAAAGGGGGCGTACGGGCGCGTTTATAAAGGACTTGACCTGGCAAATGGTGACTTTGTGGCAATCAAGCAGGTCTCCTTGGAGAATATCCCGCAGGAGGATCTTAACATAATAATGGTATATTGGTTCTTTCTATGTTCTGGTGGCTAATTTAGTGATTATAACTTTCTGAATTTTACCAAGCTATGTATCTAGGTTTTTTCCCCTTGTTGAAGGACTTCGATTTTTTCATTCTGCTTTGCTATTCTGTTGATAAATTTTAAAACTGTATATTTAGCTTTAAGAAAACATGTTTGCAATCTTATTATAAATCATTTTACTTTGTCTTGAAGTGAGATGATTGAATTCGTTAATAACCATCTGGGCCCAAATTGCATGTGGTTACAAGCGGAGCTGGATGTTTTCTTTTAGTATGTTGATACCATTGATAAGATCAACTGAAAATGATGTTTGAAGCATTCCAAACCTGGATCAGTATCAAAATCGGATCAAATCTGCACAAAATAATGGCTTTATTATAGAAATATTCTTTGGAATGCAACCATTAAATACATGTAGGACTGAATTTAAGTCACAATTGATGAGAAGATTGTTCGTTACCTCTTAACACCTGCCATTCTGTTGGCCATTGTAAGATAGAGGATCTTTGTGCGTGTATTCAAGATTTTGGTGTTGGGGGGGGGTGGGGGGGTGCATTGTTTGGTCAAATCTAAAAAACCAAACCAAACTGAGCTAAATTGGTAGATTTGGTTTGGTTTTGAAATAATGATTCATTTTTTGTTATAAAAATTTAAATATTTGATTTTTTTTTTCTAATAGATTTTGATCATCATTATAAATCAAATAAGCGGAGAAGTTGAATTGTATTGAGATTATGAAATTAAATGCATTTGGAAATAAAATAAATTGAGTATATAACATCCTTATTGCCAGTAAATTTGGAATATATAGCAAGAAATAAAAGAGAGATGCTTTTTTTAATTTTGAAATAGAACCTTGATTTTTTAATAGCTTTAGGCATATTGCTAAATTTTGATTTGCTCAAAACTGAACTAGTTAAACAAACTATTTCTTATTTCGTGGATTGATTTTAGTAAAAGTTTAAGCTGTTTGATTTTTTGGATTTCGGATTTTGGTTTCACTTGTTTTGGTTTATTTATGAACCGATCCATCCATATTGACTGATTGCAAACCCCTAATATGCCATCCTCGAAGCAATGCATAAAATATTCATAGCATTTAAATGGTCCTACTGCTTGCTGACTTCAATCATTCTAGCTGTAGTGCTTTTATTGCTGTTTATGGATACTGGAGCCAAATTGATGTTTTTTCTTAATTTATTTGAATGAGGCTGATTAGACAAAGATTAAGATTCTATGGTTATACTGATTCTCTGCTTGATAGAACTTCTTCATTCTGCATATGAGATATGGGACTTTGAGGAAGACAAACTGGCACTTCCGAAAGAAACTTTTATCTGATTAAGTTATTAGTTAAACGAAGTGCACTATGTAGTGTACAACATCATTTACTATGTTATCAGTAATTCACTTGTTAATTTTCTCCTTATTGTAAATAAAAAAAGTTTTTCCTTCGTCTTTTCTTTCTTTTTTTTTAACATCTTATTTCTTGTGGCCATGCTGTCGGTCAACTTCTTTTTTCGATTAGATTTAATTTTGAAAAATATGATACATTTTTCACAGAACTACCATCTAGAGATATTAATCAGTTGTTTCTTCGAAGTTCTTTATGTAATTAGGAAGATATATCTGGTTGTATGTGAGACAAAATAAAGATCACTATATCATACGATGGCTAAAATATTCCCATCCATTCATTTAGAAGAAAGAAAAGAAGCATGAGAGATATTGCCTAGTAAACATGCATGCAGGGTTATTGTAAGGCTTGAATTTGTCTTTGAAACCAAAACTAAAGCGAGGGCAGTAATGTCATCAATCATACTTCGGTGAGACTAAGTAAACACATTTAATCTATAGGAAAAGCTACTAAAAATAAACTTACCAAACTTTTGAATTAAAAATACAATCTTCTTAAACACACACTCTTATTTTCTTTTGCATGACCTATGGCTATCAATTATACTCTGAGGTAATTAGTGACTTGTGTATTGGATGCAATCAATGGTCCTGATATTGTGTTGCTCTATTTGATTACATAAGATTTTTTATTACTTATGTCATAAGGTTTTAGGTTTGTGTCATACAACAACCTTTCAGTTGATGCAAGGTTAAGCCCACACACATTGATCTCTTCCTAAACTCACGTTGGTGGGAGCCCCATGCATTGGGCATGCAATTTTTTTTATTCTTTTTGTTCTATGCATTACAATGCACTACTTGATCCTTTATTTGAAACCTTTCTACAATATGAGAGGCCATATTTCTCTATTGCTTGGGGTACCAATCACCTCCTTTTTCCTCCAATTTCTCAATTCACTAACTTTACTTTTTTTACTTCATGTCCTCTTCATTCCTCCATTCGAGAAAGGTTGAAAGTAGCGCATTTGAACTGTTCCATTAAGTTCAGAAGGTAAAAAAAAAATCTCTACAAAATTAACAAATTGTCAAATTGTTTTCGAGAGAAAAACTCTTAAGCAATTGTAGTTTCATTAGTCAAACTATAGCACTTTCAAGCAATGCTTTAAAAATTGTCAGTTCGACTGTGAATTGGACATGCGGCCAGTCCGAGTAACCTTAAGAATGGCTTTTGCACCGATAAAAATCGGTGTGAACCATCGGTTAAACTAACAAACTGGTAAACTGTTCTGGATTTAATGGAATCAGTTGGTCTAAATTACTTTTTTTAATCATCATTAATTCTTAATTAATGGTTAAAATTTTTTAGGTAAAATTTAATTCTATATGTTATATTAAGTCAAACTTACAATTATGATATTGGAAATCTTAAATTTAATTAATATGAGTTTAATCAAGCTAATTCATAGCGTGCCCATCACTCATTTAGGTGACTTAGGACCTCAAACAATATCATTATTTTTTACTATACAAATAGTGAAATGTTATTTTTGTTCCATGATAACAAAAACAACAAACCTTTATCCCACTAAGTGGGGTCAGCTATATGAATCCTTTTTCTCCATTACGTCCTATTGAGTGTCATATTTTTATTCAATTATAATAAATTAAGATCATTTTTATACAATATGCCCAAGTCTTTCTAGGCCTTCCTCTGCTTTTCTTAACATAACTCGAATCTAAAACATAAGTTTCTTCCATGATGTGGACAAAAAAAAAATAAAGTGAGTGCTTAGATATGAGTTGGGTGTTTAGATATGGGCTTTGGAATATTAAATAGTCTACATAATGTAGGAATATTATAATAAAATTTTAATATATATATATATAATATTAATATTAACTCTCTCTTTTTTAAAAAAAATTAAATAATTATACTATTAGTATAAATTATATTTTCCCAATAATTTTTTTGCGAAATCAACATACCTATCGAACAATTCTTATGTATTTACATATTTCTCACCTAAACTTTCATATTTACATACATAGCATTTACATAATTTAAAGCTATGCATGAAAAGGTGCATTCACTTTTAAAAAGTAGAAATATTACTATTTTTTATGTGATATTAAAGATTTGACTGTCATGTGTGTAAATATGAAAGTTTATGTGTGAGATATGTAAATACATAAGAATTGTGTGCTATATATGTGTCTTATATTTATATATCTATTATATTTGTCTTTTTTAATTTTTAAATATATTTAATATTTATGAATATATGTTTATTTATTTATAATACATATACAATTACATTTTGGCAATTTTATATCAAATTTTAAATTTATAATTATTAAATATTTTACTGATGTTCAAGTTCTATTTGTTTTATTGTCATATTGATCATATGTTTACATTATTGGTTCAGCCTTTGAACCTTGGACCTTGAATCTCACCTTCTGTTTCGATAGCCGGTCCAGTTTTCACAATTTTGCTTTCAAGGGTTGTGTTGTTTTTTTATATGTTTTACCACTTGTATGATCTTTAAACAGTTTTATCCAGAACCTGGACTTCATTCCAGGGCTGTAGATAAACTTTGCATCAGTGAACTATGAGTAAACTTAATGAGAATTCATTCGATTCAGGGACCAACAGAGTTTGCTAAGCATAGCAATCAATTCTTTTAATGACGTATGTTGGAGATTTTACAACTAAAATAGACTGGTTGGTACTGGAAGTGCTGATAATTGCATGTTGTCTGAAACTTTTTACAGGCATTGTTTTCTTTAGACTATTTGACCAATCCACTTATGAAACTCATCTTTAATCTGATTCTGTTCAAACTGTGAGAGCTCATGAAGCAAGCCAATATTCTAGAGTGGATATATGGATCGCGATGATAGCATCACTGATTTTTCCATTTTATTTTTTTGTATGTTTTCAAATGTTGCTGAGCTTCAAACCTCCTTGTTTGTTTATGTAAGTTTTTTTGTGATAAAATGGTACTTCTATACTTTGATCCTTTTTCCCTGAAAGAACTGAACCATATGACGTACAAGTGTAACCTGAAGCTTGGAAGGTTTTACTAGTTTATTTGAACTACTTATGATTGCATAATGACCACATGATTGTTTTGGTCTATTTTTATTATGTAACTAGGTCTTTATAGATACATTTTAATAACTATGACTAATTTTTGCATCTTACGATTGTTTTTCTGATAAACCTGCTAGAACTGTGGATTCTGACATTTCTTACTGGCTTTCTTTTTGTTCTATCTTTCTACGATGGCCAATTCTCATGATCCAGCAAGAAATTGATCTTTTAAAGGTACATATATGCTTGCAGTTTATAACCTACGCTTAGCATTTGTTATGAATCCTTGAATTTCATTTGATTTTTTTTTAATCCGTTGGTAACCAAACTACATACTCAATTTTATCATATGTTTTGTACTGTTCCACATCACTTTTTAGATTCACAATTAATTTGGTAGATAAAAACGAAAGAAATTCTTGAATATTTTGAGACTGAAGGTTATGGAATTGCAAGGGGCTTGATTTTGAAGAGTTTAATAGTAGTTTCCATTTCTTATTTACTTTTTTTCCCCTTAACTAAGTAGTGTGTTTTGGATTTTAGATGAGATTATTTTGTGATCTTAATGAGATTGTTTGTAAATCTTTTGCTATTTGGGTCTGATATAGTCACTTTGTTTTTCCCCTTTAAGTTTTAATTGATTAAGGTTTATTATAATAATAAAGGGGTATAAAAAGGGCTTTTAATGCATGAAATCACAACAATATTATTATAAAAGCATTATAACTTTATGAATTTTTGTCCATGTGTGAATAGTTTTTGGGAATAGGAATAACACTTCAAAGTTCATCCTTCATCTTTCTCATTCATCCAGATGCTTTAATCACTGTACAGAATCTAGTCCTTGATATTTATATTTGAATTTCATTAAATTTATAAAAAATATTTTATCTCTTGGCAATTTGATCAATTCATCTATGACACAAATGCAATTTAGATGCGCTATTTTATCATCTCTTTTTATCATTACCACATACTTGTGATACAGAATCTTAACCACAAAAATATTGTGAAATACCTTGGATCATTAAAGACAATGGATCATTAAAGACAAAGACTTAAAGACAAAGACGCACCTGCATATCATTCTAGAGTAAGATCAAATAATGATTTTCTTCTACTCTGTAGTGATTTTGATACATTTTAATGTTTAGTGATCTTAGATCCCTGATGCTATAATATCTTTAATATTCTCTGTAGGTATGTTGAAAATGGTTCACTGGCTAACATTATTAAGCCAAACAAGTTCGGACCCTTCCCTGAATCATTGGTTGCTGTTTACATATCTCAGGTTCATGTTCTTTTTCTGTTATGTTCTAAACATTTTAAGATTTTACTTTTTTCATCAATCTTGATGCCTATGTACAGGTTTTAGAAGGTTTGTTTTACTTGCATGAGCAAGGAGTTATTCACCGAGACATCAAGGGTGCAAATATTTTGACTACCAAAGAGGTTCTAGTATTTTATTACTTAATATTTTATCGAATTTTTGCACTTTGTTTCCAACATACGCTGCAGTTCATGAGAATTTGCTTGTTATTTATTGGGATTTAAAAAATGACTGGTCTAATTCTATCATATTCTCCATTAAGTTTTAAATCTCAATTTTCATGCAAGCAGGTATTTAAGTTTTTTTCTTGCAGTTTAAAAAGGCTGTTTTTGGGATTTGAATTCTTGTCCTCTGTCACAATTGACGCAACCTAACAATTCCTCTGGGCCTACCTTTTTAAAGAATTTTTTATAACTTTTTTCTGAACCCCTTCCATTGTGCGTCAAATATTTGGTTAAGATAAAATATCATTGTTAACTTTGAGCTTCCATTGTTGTGAGTGATGTTGCTAAACGTTTTTTGCTTGTGGTTGTTCAAGCTTTTAAAGAAAAAACGGTTACTAATTTTCTTTTTTGCTTCTTCAACTTTATATGATTTTTCAACTGCTTTCATAACCACTTTAATGAATTGTTATAATTTCGTTTTCATAATTTTTTTTCCACTGTTTGCTAGCTGACTGGTAAAGGGAAATGGGCAAATGGTTTGTAGGGCCTTGTTAAGCTTGCTGATTTTGGTGTTGCTACTAAATTAAATGAAGCAGATCTTAATACACATTCAGTGGTTGGAACACCATATTGGATGGCCCCTGAGGTAACTTTCAAATCATTTTCATGAACACAATTTATTTTATTTTGAATTACTTTCAAATGTTCTAGTTAGAATGCAGAAGGAAGGGCTGTGAACTTGTTTTACCATATGTTATAGTGTAAAGTCTATTCGGGAGCTGTTTACCATGCTTTTGGTATTTTTCAAATTTAATTTGCCATACGGTAAGTTGACTGTATAATATGACTTCTCTCACCCTCCAGTCCCAATTCAACTCTCCATGATTCCAATTCCATTCTTTACTATTACTTAACAACTAATTTATAATACCATCGTCCTTTTTAGGCATTTTCTGTGTAGTTGCGAACATTTTGAGAGGAATTTGGCTCTTGTTTTTATTAATTTTGGCCTTCAAGACAAGCTGCTTTGATATTTTTCATTCTTCTACTAGCTTCATAATTACCATTTGGTTCCATCATTTGTCACTTAATCACTAAAATATGTCGGAAAGGAAGATATAACTATAGATTGCTCTTGATATAGTTGGGAATGGTTTGAATCATTGTGAAATTTCAATTTGTGGAATTTAATGTTTTTGGATGCATGAAAGAAGGAAGCCAGAAAGGCTGGGAGCAATTTGCTTAAGTACGATAATAAAAGAATCCAAAAAAGGTTTGTTCTTGACCAAATGATGTAACATGCTGTTACCTTTTTTTTGAGTGGACATCTTACTTCCATAGAATCACCTGGATAATCTTTGGCTTCACATGTTGTATACTTTTAACACAAGTGTCTAGAACGTTGAATTCTTGGTTTAATAAATTTTTGAGTTGGACCAGACTAGGTCAAGTTAGGTTTATTTATCATTGATTACATTTAGTAGAGTTCAATGCCAGTTTTAAATATTTGTATCCACTTTGGAAGCCCAATAGAGTGGATCATATATCATGCCTAGTTGATTTGAACTAAAAGATATACTTATTATCAGCACTAGTCATACCCCGTAACATAGGGTTGATATGCCAATTCTTCTTCTCTAGTCATTTATACTTAGTGTTGCATTCCTTTTTGTCCTTTTCATTATTGTCTTTGCTGTTAGGAACTATAAAAAATCAATCATTTAAAAAGTTGGTTACTTATTCTATGTATGCTTAAATTTGTAACATCTTTTGTTTATGATAGTTTTATTTAATTGAAGTATTGGCTCTATTGTTTCTTTGATGGGCCAAGTTAAGCTATGCTGCATAGCTAGTGTGTTGATCTCACTTTTGGTTGAGGCCTAGTCTCTCCTTTTTAATAGCCTAGGGTCTAGCTGTAGGACTTTCCTGTCGACTATTCCTAGAAAACTAGCAAAGGAGCCCTCCTCGTTAGAAATTCAGAGCTTTTCTTCATCCCTATAGCCCTATAGGACCGCTGGCCCTATGATTGACTGTACACGTTGATCTGGCGCTGTCGCACTTTTCGCCGTCCTATTTGATTGAGCTCGAGCCGAGTTTTTGACATAATTCGGGCCGCGACGCTTTTTTGTCCAAATTGTCGATGAGGTTGTCTAAACGACTCCAGATGACAAAACGGACTGCGCCAACGCGTCCGGAACGTCGATTTTGCCTAGGGGAGACATTTGTTTCACTACGACGACACATCTGGGGGAAGATACACATTTAAGCGTTCATTATAATAATAAATAATACTTTATTATTATTATAATTATAATTAATAACTTATATTATTCCCTAACCTAATTTTGTTTCTCTCCTCCCCCCTTCTGTGTCTCGATCCCGTGGGCCTTCGGGTTGGCTCGTTCC